CCAAGGAGGCAGCGGCCAGCGAGGAGGGGCGGCAGCGCACGCTCACCACCCTCCTGGAGAAGGTGGAGGGCTGCCGCGACCTCCTGCCCGAGAGCCCCGGCAAGTACCTGGTCTACAACGGCGACCTGGTGGAGTACGATGCCGACCACATGGCGCAGATCCAGCGGGTCCATGCCTTCCTCATGAACGACTGCCTGCTCGTGGCCACCGCCCTGCCCAACCGCCGCGGCGCCTACCGCTACGATGCCCTCTACCCCCTCGACGGGCTGGCTGTGGTCAACGTCAAGGACAACCCGCCCATGAAGGACATGTTCAAGCTGCTCATGTTCCCCGAGAGCCGCATCTTCCAGGCTGAGAACGCCAAGATCAAGAAGGAGTGGCTCGAGGTTCTGGAGGAGACCAAGCGCAACCGGGCCCTCAGCGAGAAGCGACGCCTGGAGCAGGAGGCGCTGCCCCGGTCTGCCCCGACGCCCCCTGAATCCACCAACCCCTTTGAGGAGGATGAAGAGGAGGAGGAGGAGGAGGAAGAGCCCTCTGCTGAGGAGGAGGTGGTCGACCTCTCACTCGAGTGGATCCAGGAGCTGCCTGAGGACCTGGACGTCTGCATTGCTCAGCGGGACTTTGAGGGGGCGGTGGACCTCTTGGATAAACTCAACGAGTACTTGGGGGACAAACCTGTGAGCGAGCCCGTGAAGGAGCTGCGGGCCAAGGTGGATGAGCGGGTCCGGCAGCTTACAGATGTGCTGGTGTTTGAGCTGTCTCCAGACCGCTCACTACGGGGAGGGCCGCGGGCCACCCGCCGAGCCGTGTCCCAGCTCATTCGCTTGGGCCAGTCCACCAAGGCGTGTGAGCTCTTCCTGAAGAACCGAGCAGCTGCGGTGCAGACGGCCATCCGACAGCTGCGCATCGAGGGCGCCACGCTGCTCTACATCCACAAGCTCTGCCATGTCTTCTTCACCAGCCTTCTAGAGACGGCGAGAGAGTTTGAGACGGACTTCGCTGGCAACAATGGCTGCTACTCGGCCTTCGTTGTCTGGGCCCGCTCTTCCATGAGGATGTTTGTAGATGCCTTCAGCAAGCAAGTATTTGATAGTAAAGAGAGCTTGTCAACAGCGGCAGAGTGCGTCAAGGTAAGAGGGTCCAAAGAGGGTGGTGTGACGATAGCCGAAACAAAGCCTGCAAAGCTTGTAAATCCTTAGTTTAGTTGTTGGCTCTTGAGTGGTTCTCCGGAGAGGTTTCCTGCATTGAAAGGTTAATATTTATTTGGGGCTGGTCTGGGTTTTTTCAGTTTAATAGAGGAGAGCGTTAAGATGAAAATACATGGCAAGAAAAACCCCGCCTTTACCAGAAATGCAAAATGTGTTTGTTCTTAATTTGCTTTTAGCCAGTAGGAGGTCCTAAAATTTGCATAAGCCACATCTGAATGATGAGTGTTTGAAGACTTTTTTTGTTTGTTTTCCAAGCCTGTCTTGGACTACACTTCCATAATTTTTTGCAAGACTAAGTTTCTCAGGTTATGGTTTCTTTCAGCTGCTAATAGGAAAAAAAAAAAAAAAAGCATGTGTGTGGGATTGTGACAGGCAGGTTTTATGTTTCAGTTATCGATTTCTCATTAATTAGAAATTCCTTAAAGCAGGAGAAATAAGTGAAGTGTGACTAATGCTTCCCCGTTTTCTGAGAATGATAAATTGGTAAATGCGTAGGATGTAAAGGGGGCCTGCACACTAGTAACACCCTTCACTTTCTTGTTGATACCCAAGGTAGCTAAAGAGCACTGCAAGCAGCTTAGCGAGATTGGGCTGGATCTCACCTTCATCATTCATGCCCTTCTGGTAAAGGATATCAAAGGTGCTTTACAGAGCTACAAGGATATCATCATCGAGGCCACCAAGCACCGCAACTCTGAGGAGATGTGGAGAAGGATGAACCTAATGACTCCAGAGGCGCTGGGGAAACTCAGGGAGGAGATGAGGAGCTGCGGGGTAGGCAATTTTGACCAATATACAGGTGATGACTGCTGGGTCAACCTTAGCTATACAGTAGTAGCTTTCACTAAGCAGACTATGGCCTTCCTGGAGGAAGCGTTAAAGCTTTACTTCCCAGAGCTGCATATGGTTCTTTTGGAGAGTCTCGTGGAAATCATCCAGCATGCTGTCCAGCATGTTGATTACAGTTTACGGTGTGAACAGGACCCTGAGAAGAAAGCGTTCATTAGGCAGAATGCATCCTTCCTGTATGAAACTGTCCTTCCTGTTGTGGAAAAAAGATTTGAGGAAGGAGTTGGAAAGCCAGCCAAGCAGTTACAGGATCTGAGAAATGCTTCAAGATTGATGCGTGTAAATCCAGAAAGTACCACCTCTGTTGTGTAAAGTGATGTAACTTCTTAGGAACAGAGTGTGAAAGTGCTTACTGAAAATGTTTTACATTGAATAAATGAACTAAATGGGTTTTTTTGAGTGCAGACATCCAATTACTGTGTTCCAGAAGCTGAAGACTTACAGTCAAAGCCTGCAAGGATGCAACACTCTTCTCAGTGGATGGGGGGAAGGGGAGCAAGAAGTAAGGTCGAGGTCACATGTCCTTGAACAGTATATGCTGTAAGAATGGCTTTTGTAGTGTTTGTGACTTGGGAAATCTATAATATACAGGTTTTGGCCAAATGTTTGTGGAAGTCTTAAATATATGTATACCATATGTGAGGAAAAGATCACTTCTCATCATGTCACTGTAGGAATTCTTTTTTAAGGCACTGTTCTGGTAGGAGGGGAAGTGCTGAAATGCTCCCAGGGTGTGGTACTTGGTGAGGCATGTTGACCATCCAGATGTGACTCAGCACTGAAGATAAACAACATGGATTTCATAGTCTGATTTGTTTGGTAGCAATGCAGACTCTTCAGTTTCTCCCACATTCGAATTCTATTCATTCATTTCAGAGGCAGATCTAAATTTTAAAATGGTTTTTTGTACAGGTTTTTCTGTTTGGTTGGGGGGGCTGCTTCTGTGTAATGAACTGTCATGTTGGCTTAAATTACAGCTTTCTGAAAACAAACCTTCTGCTGTCAGAAACATTTGTTCCCTTCAGAGAGGAAGTCAGAGTAAATTTCTTGCCTTCCCCTTTGTGTTCCCCTTCCTTGGGGAAATATTTTTTCATTGGGCTCAAGTCCATTTGGTGAAGTATGCACTCTTGCTTGAGGTGCTGTCATAAATTTGTTACGGGCCAGTAGTTAGTGGTAGAAACCATAGTGAAAAGGCATAAATGCTTTTGAGATGTGCAGGGCAGGGAGAGGGTCTGAAGGTACAGTTTCATTTGGAAGAAACAATGCTGGGTGTGAAGGTTTTTGTAAATGATGTGGTCTTAAAAATACACACTCTTGTCTCTTGCAAATATTAGTATTGTTTCCTATAGTACAGCAATAACCAAGAACTGTCTTTTTTTTTGCAGAAGACACAAGGACTGGGAAAATAGATGGGGGAAGTTTATGCAAATACTTGTATGTTTGCATTGGATGGTGATGGCTATTGTTCAGTATTTGTCTGAAAATAAAATAAGCCAAGTCTTACATAAAGGCTAGCTTTAGCAAGCTGTTAGCATCATCTTCTAAGCTATGTAAACTTCTTCTGCTTCAGTGCAGACTTTCTTAGTTGTGAGAAAATCATGTTACAGCTAAGTAATCTTGTATTAAGACTGTCAATAAGTATTCTTAACTAGAATGATTGAGTATCCTATTCCTCTTACACTTTCAGATGAAAGATTTTGCAGTTCATATCATGGTAATGAATGTCTTATGACTGCCTGAACAAACAAAAGATTGCTAGTAAAACTTTCTGCATAACTGCTTATACTGGAGCTTCTTAATTTCTCCCTGTTGTCACAGTGCTAGTTGCTCTCTTGCTCTTTGGATGCCTTTTGAACTGCCAGATTTTGCAGAGCATCCTACTGTCTGCTCACTTGCTTTCCAGTGTTTGGGCCTTTTGCTAGAAAATCGCAGAAAGAAACGTACAAAATGGTTTTAAAGGGTAACTCGGTGCTCTTAGCTGAAACTGATTGAAAACCACTGAAATTGCTATAGTTTTATTTTAAGGTAAAGGGACACTGAGTGTTAAAACTTGTGTGAACATGTTATCTCCAAGAGAGAGCCACACAGGTGTTATTTCACTAGTGAACTATCTTTGATACCAGAACCTAGTGACCTATATTGAAGTAAATATATTCTGTCATTGTTTAACGTGGGCAAAGGTAGCAACCTGGCCTTACTTAATTTGAGAAATGTTTGCAAGTGGATAAATGAGAGCTCTCCATGATGACAGGTATTTTGGAGGAGAGGGAGAAGGGAGGGCTTTTTTTTCTTTGAAGACAGGTATGTTTTATTGTTTTCTTTACAGCAGAATAAAGCAGAATAAATACAGATGAGCCTTATGTAATTTATTTTTTCTGTGCAAGAGAAGGGTAAACTGTGGAACTTCAGCTCACGACTGATTATTGTGATGCTTGAGGATTTTGTGTAAGAAGATGAATTGTAGTTTTCCAACTCCCAGCTCTGGCATAAGATTGAGTTGGGGGAGAGCCCTATTCGTGTTTCTATTGCAAGCTGGCGTGGCACACTATCCTTATCAGAGGGTGAAATGTAGAATGTAATTTTGCCATGTTCTCTGTTAACTTGTCACTGCTCCCTTCACCGATCTTTTTACAGCATGCACGGCCTACTGATTTTGTCTTTGCTGTCGTCCATGGAGCAGTGGGCTTACATGGATGTTGGTTTTAATGGATCAGGGAATCTGGCCTTTCATTTGGGTGATCAAATACCATGTTCATGTGCCTGTCAAAATTCAAAGTGAAGATTTGTATAAACTGCTGTAAGCATTGATATTTTGTAACTTGTGAATCTGTTCGAGTCATAATAAAAGAAAATCAATAACTTAAGGAAAATGGTGTGCAATTAAATTAAACATGCTTTGTATTTTAACTCAACTAACAGAAAAAGTCAACGTATGCCGAGAGTCATGGTTTAATAAATTTCACATTTGCAGATGGTAATTTGGAATGGCACTTTTCTTATCCTGAGCTGTACACTTATGGGATAGTGTTGTTCAAGTTGGGATTTGCAGTAACTGCTGAGTAATACAATAGCAGTTTTGTTGTTTTGGGGAGGAACTAGTCATATTTGTTTTGTTTTGAGACAGTTGCATGTGAAAACTGGTTTCCTTTATCTGTTATGACAAAATTGTGATGTGTAAAATTAAGATTTTTTTTTTTAATTTGGATAAATTTATGTATTAGAATTTAATGCAATATCTTTTCTGAACAGTGAGGACCGTGCATTAAAGCTTTTGGACATATAATGCTAGTGGTGTATTTCTGGTTTTATCACATCATCATCAGAAAGAGGATGTTGGTTCAAAGTTCAAGTCCACTAATAAATCTCCAGTGGAGTCAAAGAGCTTCAAGTCAGTCTTTTGTGAGGAAGATGTAAGGGACAGCCAGGTGATGAAAGCCAAATTATTTCACTTTGGTGACATCCTTACAAAGTCAGTATGTGGCTTAACTAGGTGAAGTTGGAAGAGAATGTTTCTCAACATTGTATCTGATTCAAATCGAGGAGAGACTACTCTAGTCTAATGGGACTTCGTGTAGATGTGTGACATCAGCACCATGGCAGCATCATGCTATAGGGTTTGCTACTGGATTCCAGAGGTTATTTTGTCACCAGAGTCCATTTTACTGAACTTGAATATGCAGTATATGCTGAATATGCAGTACAGCCCATCTCCTCACTAGGTGGAGTTTTGTGCATCGAAACCTCAGTAGGCCATGGACAGGCACAGACATTACAGCTGTGCTGCTTGACTCAGGATGTGTTTGTAGCACATTGGGGAATGAAGACGCTGCACTGAACAGTTCCGGTGTTAGAGTCAACTCTTCTTCCTACCTTGGTAGAGATCCTCTTCTGCATTTTCTAATTTTTGTACTGTTAGTTTCTCAATCCTTCATGTTTTCCTGCTGTGTTTCTATATGATTGGCAGGCATCCTGCAGAGGATCTCAGCTTTCTACTTTTTCTAATGGTATGTACCAACATAGTTTTTGTTCTGCCTGAGAGACACTCTGTTATGCTGCAAGCCCCTGCAGAGATGTGAAAAGTCATTTGTCCCGTATAAGATGTTCAGCTTAATGACTTCTCAAGGTCAAGCTTGTGTGACCTCTTGTCACTTGACTTCAATATTGGACTGAAATTCCAATGAGAGCTTATGCTCATATGCAGGTTTGCACTCCAGCACAATAATGCAGAAGGTCCCCACTACCAATCTTCATCGTTTATACTCTTTACATTCTCTTTGCTGCACAGCTCAAACATTTTAATCGGGTTACCTTTCCCTTAAAAATACTAGTAGTTCTGTAAACTCTCGGTCTGTTTTCTCTGAAGAAAATCAAATCCAGAATCTGTCAAGGAGCTTTGTGAGCATAGCCTGTAGACACATCCTTTTCCCCAGAGGTTCAAGAGTTGTGATACGTATTCAATTCCTACAAACGGTGAAAGGTAGTGGAGAGGGAAACACAGCCACTGTTTTTGTGAAAATAGATTTACACCCTTTATAATTACAAGGGATGCTGATTAGAGTAATAGATCAGAATTTGATTGAGTCACTTCAGACACAGTAATTACTCCTTGAGTAATTAGGAAACTTTGCTAATACAACTTTAGTGGCCTCAATGTGCCCTGTAATACAGATCTCAACTTCAGGGTTACAGGCTGAACTAGATTCTCTGCTACAGATTCTCTGACATGGCAGAGAGAAAGTACTAGCAAGAGGCCTGGCCTGTGCCGCACCCTGAGCAGTATTCCCCTTCCTGGTGGTTTACGTAACTGATAAGGACAGCTTTCAGGCAATTTTAGATCACCCTTTTGTGAACCTGTGGTATTTATCCTCTCTCTCTCCCCATACAGTACCTGGATCACGGCTGCATTCCCTTCGATGAACTGAGTATCCCACTTCTCAATCAGGCAGAAAATTGTGTGTGAGGACGGAGAGAACCGGCTCTCCAAGACTTGAAGAGAGCTGCGATGGCACATGGTTGCCAGTGGGGGTCCCACAGCTCTGCATTAGTGGGCATCACCTCGGTGCAGGGAAAACAGGCAGCCGCTGTGTACGCAAGCAGATAGGATTGCATTCAATTTGTTCTCATAGACCAGTACAAGAGCTAAAAGCAGGTTTCAAAGCTGAGATATTAATCTCTTCATGTCATGGCAGGAGCTGGACTCTGAGGCATTGGTTTATGTTACCTAAAATATAATTTGGCCCTGCAGCTGTTGGGAATCTTGTTCAGATGTGCTGTTACGATCACATATGATTATTGAATGTATTGCACTAGGGAGGTGGGCTAGGGAGAACAAGTGCCATTAACTTCACTGCTGCTTGGGAAGTCCTTGGAGATGCTTAGATTAATGGTGATTTCAAGTTATTAAAAAAAAAAAAAAAATCATTCTGCTCTTCAGCTAGTTGCACCAACACACACAGTTCTTTCTCTGTCCTCCCAGAAAGATGATCCAGTCAAAATCAAAATGCTCATGAAAGTGGGAGAGAGTTAGCCAAATCCTTCATGATATGAGGCACGTGAATCTAAACACCTGCAGACTTGGGCAAAATTGAGATCTGAATCTCAGACACCCCCAAGCCTGACTGTAGGCCAAGGGAAAACTTTGCCTTCCAGACTTGAAGTTCTCTGGATTTTTAGACATTCCTACTGTTTGTAAAAATCAAAGTCATAGAAAACCATCTGTGCCAGTCAGATTTGTTAAGAATAATGTGTTTGGTTTGGTTTTGTTTTTTAATTACAGCACTGCTGTAGTCTGGGGAGTCCTGTTACGTTCATTTTCAGTTCTGCAGACCCAGTTTTCACAATAGGAAGGTAATTCCTGGCCCAGCTCCTGCAGGATGGGGTTGTCAGAGGAGTTCTTGAAGCCCTGCAGAAGATCCTTCCTTCCTCAGGATTCAATAAATTTTCCTCTCAAAATGTGGGTCTCTGATAAGCAGCTCCTGTTCTACTTTTTTTTCCCCCTCACTGACAATTGGCAAACATGTTTGTTTTCCCACTCCACAATGTAACTTCTCCAGCAGAGGTGCCAGATTGGCTTTGTGGAGGAAGGTGGCCAAACTGCATGTTAGATTACAGTCAGTGCATCTGTTTTAATGTAATTCAGGCCATATACCTCCCTGCCTGCTCTCGCTAATGACAATGTATGTGGGGAGGAGTGGGATTGGGAGGGTCACAAGGAAAGATCTATAATCTTTGTCCTTCAGACTTCCACTGAGCAAGGTGCTTAAGCACACACTGAAGAGCATATGTCCCCCTGAATTTGAGAGGCCCACTCCTATACTCAGAGCTAATTAAATGTTAAAGGTCTTTTCATGCGTGGAGCATCAGTAAATTTCTGTTGAATTTTGCAAAACCAACTGGCAAAGAAGCAATAGGGGGGCGATACTAGAGCAAGAGCACATGAGCAAAGAAAGTGTGCATTTCTGTGACACCTCAGCTCTAGTGTGACAAATTGCAGTCCCAAACAAAGCCTTCTTCAGCGGGAGCAGTAGGCTCCATAAATCACCAGTATTGCAACTTTCCAGGAGGCTGCAATAATAGAGTTAGACACGCTAAAATAAAGTTGCTTCATCTGACCGCATGGGAGATGTGGCACCGTGTTCGGGTGGAGGAAATGCCCTCGGGAAAACTATGACCCTTAACGAAGGGTGCTCAGCAAGGGCTGGTCAGCTGCTGTTCTGGGATATGGCTCCACCTGAGCCTGATACCATTGAGAGCAGCAGTCCCAGCCTCCTGCCTACACCTCCATCCTCCCTCATTTTACCCACACCCCACGCCCTGCACAGCAAGCTCTTCCCTCCTGCCGTCCACACAGCCTGAAATAGGTCTCCTTCGTCCCGGCAGGATTAAACCCCATCTTGTTTGCTTGGCGACAAGGGATGCACACAGTAGGCAGAAGGCCCCGCGCTGCTGCCTGGTCTCTTCGCACCAAATTGCCCCTCTCCTGGTGTGCCTGTAATCAGTCACCATTTTTTGTTTTCTCCTGAAGTTTATTATCATTTAAATAGCCTTCCAGCCTGAGACATCCTGTGGGGTTTCTGGCTCTGCTGCCTCAAGCTCTGTGAAATTAATTCCCGTAAGATCCTGTCCTCACAGGAAAATGGTACGGGTTCAACTAAACTGGTTTAGAAACTGTTTTAAAACCCACGCAAGACCTTCTGTGGCCCCTTAATTTTGACTGGAGCACTTTCTACGTACTTTGCTTGGGGTATAATACGCTTAGACAGGAAAGTGTTTATTCCCAACCAAAATTACAGCACCAAATCCTGCTGTCTGGGGTAATGTTTTTGACTACTGTGGGCAAATTCCACATTTAATTCAGCGTGTGCTTTTAGGCCTTGAAGATTTAAGGCCCAGACTGCAAATACCTTTAATCAGGAAGCAATTAATTGCACAAATTTCCTCCTTGCAGTCAGCATAGCGTTCATCCAGGTAATACTCCCTGCAAGGCGATGGCTCATGCCTGCAACTCTGCTTTTATTACTGTATATCTCTGCTAATTAGTTCCTGTTGGATGGTAGGCCAGGTTGCTACAGGGAGTTCAGATAAAAGATAAAATCAGTTAAGACAATCTAAAGATAGCTTTAAGAAGAAAAACAAATGGTTTGTTTTCCTGCTGAGCTCTTTATTATTATTATTTCTGAAGAAAACTCAAAAGCAGGATTCATGCTTTTGATGGAAGTCAGGGCCAGGTTTGAAAGGGTTGTTCCAGTACCTCGATGTCAAGCACACTGGACGAGATTTTTTTTCCAGAGCACCCTGGTGCTAATCCAAGACCTGTCCCCAGGTAGGAGAGGAGTTTGTCTCTTTTTCACCCATCTCCATGCAAAGAATCATAGTCCTGTTTCTCCCTCAGAAATGATGCTTGGCTTCACTTTGAGAGAGGTTTCCATGTACCTGGGTAGGGAGAGCTGAGGGGATGTTTAGCCCACATTGACAGTCTCTGGGGCAGCGCATACACAATGGCTCACAAAACAGGAGGGTGAGGCTTCAGGTGCCCCTCTGCCCCACATTCAGGTCAGGGTCGTTTCCCCCCAGCTAAAGCTGACACCAGCCTTGTTCGCTTTTTCAGTCAAATACAAGCCACACATCCTTCCTGTCCTACATGCTGCCTAGAAACAACAAACTCCTTCATTATGCTGTTATTATAATTTACTAGCAGAACCCTTCCTCTCCGCACACACAACTCTTCATGTTTGACTATTATAATTGTATTTTCAAAGTTATAAATAACACATTAGCCTGGTTTATGTGTTCATG